ACCTACGGCACTGTAAGACAATATGTTTATGTTGCTTAAGCTGCTAAATTTGTGGTAATTCATCAAGTTAGCAAATGGAAAGCTAATACACATACTATTGAGAAAAAAATTACTCAAGATGATGGATATATTTTAATAAGGAAAAAAACCCTGGATGAGACCAATACTTTTATAGAAATTCAATTGTATTAGGAATTTAAAATAGCTTCCTCTTTAAAAACACTCATAAAATGGGCTTGCCAGCTGGCTTAATTGGTTAGGGTGCAGTTTTGTAATGCCAAGGTCAGGGGTTCGGATTCCCATACCAGCCAGCTGCCAAAAAAAAAAAGGAATTAAAAACATTGATAAAATACATTTTCAGAAGGAACAAAAGCTCTCTTCTTTTGTCCTGATGTCACATGATAATTATATGATGACCTAAATCAAGAATTGTACTCAGGTCTTCCAACTATAATTAAATTTTATTACAGCCTTTTCTGTAAATAGCATGGGTTTTTAACCCTAAGGGCTCTCTATAAGGCAAGAGTCTTTTTTTCCTCACCGCCCAAACTTGAAAGTATTCAAGAAGAGTATTTAAGTATTCAAGAAAAACGCTATTTATTGAGCAATATTACTTTCTATTGCTTTAGTTAGCATTTTAATGCTTTAAAATAGTGCTTGTCTACCTAAAAAGAAGCTTCCTCATTTTGTTCCTAATACATGTTTTAAAAGAATTTAGAGTAAAACTTGCCTTGGTTAAGTTGGGGCATGGGGGACGGAGTCTGGAAACAAAAGAATTTGGTTTATTTACTTATGTCAACAAGATTATCTGGTGTGTGTGTGATTTTTATGAGTTTATTTTGATAAAATAACTACATCAGAAAAGTGTGAATAAAACATTCCCATGACAAAAACTTCCTTAANTTAAGTATTCAAGAAAAACGCTATTTATTGAGCAATATTACTTTCTATTGCTTTAGTTAGCGTTTTAATGCTTTAAAATAGTGCTTGTCTAACTAAAAAGAAGCTTCCTCATTTTGTTCCTAATACATGTTTTAAAAGAATTTAGAGTAAAACTTGCCTTGGTTAAGTTGGGGCATGGGGGAGGGGAGTCTGGAAAGAAAAGAATTTGGTTTATTTACTTATGTCAACAAGATTATCTGGTGTGTGTGTGATTTTTATGAGTTTATTTCGATAAAATAACTACATCAGAAAAGTGTGAATAAAACATTCCCATGACAAAAACTTCCTTAACATTCAAATGATTCCATTTTTGAAAGGACAAGACATTTTTCTTCCTCACTCATTTTCACTGATCTTGATCACCACAGACTGACTCTTAAACAGAAACACATTCCATTACTCGTTAGAGATAAGATTGTGACATTTATAATGAATGACCTGCTGTCTTTAAAATAAACACATTATCATCTATTAACCTCCTGCTAGTGAAATTTTGAATCTCAACTTACATACTTTGTCTTTAGTGACAGGTATCAAACATGTCTATGTTTAAATATTATTCTTGTTTGTGCATTAAAAAATCGCATGTTTAGGGCCGGCCCGGT